CAGAAGATTCACCCGAGTTCATTTAGTCTTTTAGTTTTCAATCAAAACACTTTTGTTTTTTTTTTTAATTTAATTTCATTTCCATATTTGGAGGGTAGATTGATGGTTTAATTCAAAATAAATACAAATGTTCAAACATCTAAAAGGACTCTGTCAGCACTTTACGTATCAGTGATTCTTTTTTTTTTCTTTTAAACATTGTCAGCAGAATATCCACAGCGAAGAAACGACAAYGAGCAAATCTCACCATTGAGGATGTAATCTGTCAGGAGGCCGGGCACCTTGTCGCTGTCGTCTCTCATCGCTTGCAGAACTGCAGAGATGAGAGATAAATGAAACTGACTCGGCTGCAGTAAGTCCAGCATCGTCGCAGAGATGAAGGCTCTTACTTTTAGTCAGGATCTGGAGGTCCTGGATCGACGGAGGGTGTCCTTTTTGCTCATAAGGGATAACTGTGGTCAGATACTAGAGCAGGGAAATAAACAGCAACGGATTAGCTTTTGGATTTGTGGTGCTTTTATAACTAGAACACAGCTACTAAGAAAGAAATAAGAAAAAGATAAGCCTGAGCAGAGAAAAGTAACCTGTCGTTCACTGCAACCACTCCCAAATGTTTGCCGGAAGCTGTTTTGAATAACGGAGGAGATTCCCTCCACGCTGAAGCGCTGAGGAGGAAGGAGGGAAAGTGGAGGAAACACGTGAAGAGAGGTGAAAACTGAATAAAACAAGCAGGAAACTGTGGTGGAGACGGACCTTTTGCTCAATAAGAAGAAAAAAAAACAAAAAGATAAAGTCACAAAGACAAACTGATATTTGTGTATTTGGTACCGATGTCGGTGGTTTCTCTGCGCCGCCCTGCCCCGCCCCGGCTCCGCCCTTCAGCTTCTTCTTCTTCCTCAGCGACTCCCTGTGCTCCTTCTGCCGGTTCTGCACGTCGATGAGCGTCGAGATGAAGCTGTTCTTCACCTCCTTCTCGAAGTCCAGCTCGTCCCGGACGGCCAGCTGCTGCACCAGCTCCTCTGAGAACCTCCTGATGTTCCTCTCCGTCTCCTCCAGACGCTCCGACAGCTCCGCAGCGCTCAGAGCCCTCAGCCCTGGAGCCAGAGGCGGAGAGTCAG